AAAAAAAAAAAACAACGGAAAAGTTCTCCCGCACATTTCCATAACTCATACGTACATTAAAAGAAAACCATAAAACACCAGAGAAAGTACCCTGAAAAGACGAAAGTTTTAACAACTTAAACCTACCCAACGACAAATAAACGTCCCACTGCAAAAAACTAATTAACCGAAGTAACTACAAGACATGCATGAGACATTTGTCACTGCCAATTTATTTGAACAGCAAAATTCGTCACATCCCAAAGTAACAATAAAATACGAAAGCAATAAGAAACGAACAAAAAATTATAACCAATACGACCATTTTACAAAATTATTACCGGATGAGGTTAGAGTGACCATTTTATCAATTTAAAACAAAACTAAACTGTTTTGCCAAAAATGTTCAACAGTTTACTGCTTTACTTGCTCGGCAGGTGGCTTAACTACTTTGGGTGTAGTCTGCACTGATTCCTTGGCGGGAGCTTTCTTAGCCTCTTTTGATGATTCAACTACGGCACTTTCCTTCTGACCAACATCACCTTCACCTCCCTTCTTCTCAGGGTCAGCTTTCTTTTTTGCTTTCTTTGTCTTCAGAGATGTATTAAGGAGGGCGATGATCTAAAAAAATGAAAAAATTTCCACGGCCCTAAATTCTTCAAACTCACACAAAGTCATAACAAAAACCCTTTGTCCTGCATGAAAAAACTAGTGAGAAACTGCAGTAAAAGTTAAAAGAAGGTAAATAAAAAAAACTGGGTGCCAGGGGAGAATTTTCAGTACAAAAAAAAAGGAAAAATCCGGACATCCGGACTTACGGAAGAATCAGTAATCTTTTCATCACATGAAATTAAGCTAGAATCCAAAGGTAATCCTGTGATTTTCAGGAGACCACCAGGTAATATCAAAACTGTTGACTTAAACTGAGCGACAAATTCGCCATCTTTTTCATACAAAACCTGAAAAGCATTTTCAAACTGTATTTAACTGAACCAATCACAATGATGTTAAAAAACGACCAATTTAAAAACAAAGAAACCCTCCCTACACACAACAATTTTGAGCAAATCATAAATATTTAAAAAGGGTAGTGATATTACCTGGTAAGGTTGTAACAAGCCGTGACGTTCACATTCAACAACACCCATCTTCGCATTTTTCTCTTCCTCAAATGCTCTCAACGTAAAAGGCATAGAACCAAACCTCGAAACCGCATTCGAAAAAAAGGTTCTGAAAAACCAGAATCGACAATCAAGAAAACGATTCTTAAAAATATAATACTTTATTAAGTCTACCTAGAGGCCTTGATCTTTAACGAATAAATAATATCATCAGTCCTTTTATACACAGTTGTTCTTGTGTCAACAGGCTTCACGTGACCTAAATTAAATTAAAGGTAGACTCAAGAGAATGACAGTACCAGAAAAAATTATAGTTTGAAAAGACAACCTTCCCCCGTGCTCATTAAAATATCGATGGCATATGCTTCATACGTTTCAAAACTACATTTGGTCATTTCTGAACGCTGCTTCTCGCCGGGATTTTGTATAATTTGCTTTTCTCCATCAATTTTATTTCTGGACAACTGATGTGACAACATATTTTCAATTGGCTTTACCTAAAATTAAGCTTTTTTAGTCGCTCCAGCGCCCTAATCCTTAAATGACAAGCTGTTGAATATTTAAAGACGCAGAGTCAGCAACGTAAACTACCGAAAAAAATCAAAGTGACCTTGTAAAATGTAGCGATTCGGTCAATCATTTCCGTAACTTCCATGTTTTTATACAACTCTGGCCTCAACATCCTGATGGTAGCTTCCATTGCATTGTATGCAGCCATAATGACACTAGCTTTACGCTGAGTGATTTTGTCTGTCTAAACGATATTCAGATACAATAAAAAAAAATAAAGCGAAGTTAACTGCATTGAAAAATTACTAAAGAAGGCATTTGAATTGAGAAATATAAAAAACTGAGCAGTATACTGGCTGCTTGAAATTTATCATCTTTCAAAAGTCAACACAGTCCCACCAAAATAAGATTTCAGCAATTTAAAAAACTAAAGTGGTAAAATATACGTTGGAAGCCCCGACTACAACTGTATGTGCCGCTGTAGCGACATATCCGTCAATGTGCGCACCGAGATCAATTTTAACCATCTGTCCTTTACGTAGAACAACTGGAGGATCGCTGCGTAATGGACTATAGTGACATATGCAATTATCAACGGATATACAAGTCGGCATAGCGATCCCTAAAAACCCTATTCTACACCAAAAAAATAAAACCCTACCGAGTATTTCTTAAAACATAAGTTCCAAAAAAAAAAAGAAAAAAAAGGAACAGAAAAAATCCTAGACCCTCTTTTCAGAGAGCAAAAGTTATACCTTTCTGTACTTCTTTTTCCTTTTTAAAAACTTTCGAAGTACGTTCTAATATAAGGCGATCTCCCAAATCACAAAGGAAACCAACTTCAACATCTTCTTTAACCGCCGCGATAACCTCCTACAAATCATCAAAATGCTGAAACAAGACGTTGGAAGATGCTAAAATAAAGTACAACTTGCACTGTAGAAAAACAAGATCATAAAATAATTTTTGTCACGAAACAAAAAGTACCACCACAAATAAATAAGTCCTTAGAAAATAGAGCATTTTTGTGAAAAAATGCAGTCGAGGAATGCATAACCGGTACTTTACAATACTTATTTATTTATTGTTTTCTGCTTTTTTTGCTGTTCCATATGTTCTGTTCTATTCTGCAATTTAAATCAGCCATGAAAACTAAGATTAAAAACCTTTAAGACACCGTTCACAATATCGGCTGCCTGTGCATACTTTGTAACAACCAGATCATTTGCAAGCGATTCTTCTTTGTCGTGTTCGTCATCTGCAACCATGCCACTTTCACTAACTCCTTTTGTTTTACCCGCCATTGATCTAAAGTGACAATTAACCGTTAGTGAATCTCCATCTTTAAAACTCCTTGAAGATTCAGATGCATTTCTAAGTAAAAAGCAAGCAACGTAGGTAACAATAGCGGCGGTGACAAATGCAGATTATGAAAAAACCAAGAACGATAACTAAAAAATGCAGATAATTTTGGGTCACCATTGAAAACAAAAGAGTTAAAATAAATTTTAAAAAATAAAAGAAAAAGAGAGCCAAAATACGTCGCCAACGAAAAAAACAAAAACAAAAAAAGGAAACTTAGCTGCAGCAGGCATTTTTTCACGAACACATAACTCTAATAAAACTGAACATGAAAAAATTGATACAAGCATGAATTAAATGATAATTCAGAGAGAATAAGAAAATTTATGGCTACAACACAATACGCCATCATTAACTTTATTTCGAAAAACAAGCAAAAACATGAACAAATAATTACTACGTTATTTACGCAAAATCTCAGTTCAAAATTACGACTTTTGCTCTAACCAAATTGTAAACAAGAAAAAAAAGCAAAAAAAATTCTGTCAAGTGGAAAAACAAAAATGAAACTACTGTGAGTAGGTAAATGTCGTAAAAAAACTATCAAAAATTTTTCACCTTTTCAATTCAAAAATAAAGAATCTCGCAGAACGTTTCATCTTATTTCCCTCTGAAGCCTAAAATTCTTTTGACTCAAGCACTGCTGTTCGGCAAACATAAAATGGTGGATTTTCTTCTTCTAGAGACTATACTTTTATGGAGGAAACAATGTCAAAAAACAAAAAATTAGGAAGGAGTCTGATTTTCAATCTTTATTCAGTAATCTTAAAAGTGAAAAGAAAAAATGAGTGAAAAACGCTAGTTTTTTTTTTTCTTGCCT